ACGGCCCTGCACTCCCAGGAAAACTCCCAGTCTCAGCCTGTCCCAATAAGTTGCTCGCAGATCAGGCCGAGCAGCCCGACAGCCAGTTGCCACGCTGGCTACTCTGCACGCGCAGTGCGGAGAGCGAGGACCGAAGGCGACACCCACTCCCGTGTCTCAATGAACAGACTGTTGGAGCTGGAGCACATTCACCAGGCGTTTTCCTGGCTACGCAGCACAAGTAGTGCAGAGGGTGGGGATCCAAGGCCGCAAGCGCGCAAACACACTCACGCTCCTGCACCAATTCCAGCAGACCAATGTGGTCCCAGACCTGACCCTCTGTGGGAGGGCCCAGCCCTGAACAAATGGCACCCTCCTATACACTACTCATGTGCAAGGTCCACACCAGGGGAACAATGGTCCCAAAACCTCCAGCTCCCATGCCAAAGGCGCTCAGTTCAGTAGTTCCCCGCAGGCTCCTGGGCCCTGCTCACACAGCTACTCCCTCCACCAGGAACCGGGTGAGTGCTCACTGGTGAGCGAGTCGGTTTGCCGGCTCCACTGGTTCTCCAGCCTCCCTGAGCCTCACCGAGTTGAGCAAAGAGAGTCCTCACTATTTTCTGCTTCCAGCTATCGTAGAACTCCTCTTCCCGGCAAAGTAACTCTGGGCTGGTGAGCGCAGTGTGGGGCCGGAGGGTCTCTCCCCCAACCGGAGAAGCCTCTCCACCACTGAGTTGTCCCTCACGGGGTTCGCCCTCTCTCATCTCTGCCCCTCCTGCCAGACTCGACATGGCCTCCTCTTTAAGTCCTTTGTTTAGAGGTTCTGTTCATTTAGTGTTCAGGGGACTTCCGAGGTTGAATGTTCTGTAAATTATTTGTAATTTTGGTGTGATACTGGGAGGCAGCTGGCACAGCATCTGTCTATTCCACCATCTTACAGACCAGCTTTCATTTTTAAATCCTGTCTTTTTAGGGGAATATTTTCGGAACCTTAGTACCATTTTTCCTAGTCTTTCATATTATGTGATTTTTGAAGTATGGTTCCTAAACTGCTTTAATATTTCCCACAAAGTCATACCAAAATGTATGGAAGGTGGGCAGAAGAATCATAGCATAAACATGCTGAGCCCAAGAAAAATGACCACAACCTTCCTAAACATGTATTTTCATGAGTGTGTGTGTGGTATATAATTATGTCTTCTTGCTTAGTAATAATTTCTAAGAACTGTATTTTTCCTTATTTACAATCTTCTCCTTCCCGAACTTAACAGAATAGCTTTTGTCAACACATATGATTACTTTTCTGTTATTCGATTAGAACTTTATGATTGTCAATGATTTTTTATCCTCAGTGTTTTATAAGTTTCTATAGGGTTAATCCTCTATATTAGATGATATAGGTACATATCACTATACCATTTCTTTGTTTCTATGGACAATGTAGAGATATATTAAATCACTGTTAGAATATATCAGAGAAATATTTCTTTCACAACCTTCCTAACCCCATCTGCTGTAACCCCATATGCCATAACATGCAATAGATAATCTCTTTTCTCTAGCTGCTTTTAATCTATTTTGTTTATCATAGTTGATTACTGTTTCAGTAAGTTGTGTCTGATGGTGGATTTTATTGTATTTGTCTGAACCAGGACTCATTGTGTTTCCTAAATCTGTGTGTTCCTATATTTCGTCCATTCTGGAGAATTTTCAGCCATTCTCTCTTTACTATTGTCCCTTTTCCTTTCTTTCTGTTCTCTCATTTTCGAATGCCAATTATACCTATGTGTCAGAATTGCCCTTGTGTGTCTCTTAACTTTTATTTTAAACTTTCCATTTTAAAATTTACTTTAGAACATTCCTGTAATTTTCTCAAATCTAAATTCTAGTTTACTAATATTTCTTAAGCAAATATAAAATGCTATTTATCCATCTATTATGTATTTAATTTTAGTGACTGTATTTTTCATTTCTGTAAATCCTATTGTTTTTCAAATCTGTTTTACCTTTTTTGATAGTACTGTACTTTGGTTTTTTTCTTCATGTTTTTTATTTCATCCTATATGTCTTTAATAGTTTTAAACAAATTTATTGTCCATATGTGGTAATTTCATTATCACAAGTTCTCAATAATCAATTTGATAATAGGGTTGAATTCACCTCTTGCTATAAAGAATAATTTTTTGTGGAGTATATAAAATAATCTGTGATTTATCAAAGCTTATCTTCAGTGGTCTTTGTCCCTAAGAATCCTTTTTGTCAGTTTGAGAGAACGTTTTCCAGAGGTCTTGCATCTCTTTCTGGTAGATGCCCAAGGTTATCAAAGATCTGATGCTACTTTAATATAAATAATTCAGAATGAGTAATTTTGAACCAACACAGGTAGGATAAATTACAGCTAGGAAACATAAATGAAGGATTTCCCATTAGTTTTCATTTTCCGGGGAGATCTCCTGTTTTTTTCTACAAGTTCTCTTGCCAAGAGAGGCAAACTCCTCGCTCTTCCCTGTTTCTGATGGGCAGATATTTTCCTGGCCCTTTAAAGTCCCAGATATAGATAAGCAGATTATAAAATCCTTGCCTATCGGGGATGTAAGAGTTAGCCTGTCATCTATATTCCCTTAGTTTACTGAGGTGGCTAAGACCCTGAAGTCCTTAACAATGTCAGTTAATACTTTTGTTTAATAGTTTTGTTTCTGTCTTTTGTTATATTAAACCCTAGACTGTTATGTAGTAAAATGTTGGCAGAATTTATTCTTGTTGTGGTTATTTTTTCAATGTTACTTTTTAAAATTCGTCCTTGCATATATTTGAATCTAAAAAAAATGATTTTTAAAATGTATATCATCACTTCAAAAACTAACCAGAGAAAAACACAAAAGTTTACAGTATATACCAGAAAAGTTATAGTTTTATGGGACTGTTGACTCTTTAAATTTTTCTTTTTACCTCTAAAGTCATAGGGCTTTCTTATGTTATATAACTGATTTAATTAATCACATAATGAGAAAAAAGTTATGATATGGAAAAGCTTTTTTTTCTTCAGTGCTTTAGTTAATATTCGCTCTTATTTGGTTCCCTGCCATATTTCCCATTTTAAGGTATTTTTAATAAAAGATATATTTTAGCACTCCCCTATGATAGTACATGACACTGTTTCTTGCATTGGTCATTGTATAGAATTTGAGCTATTAGGCTATAATTATGGTGTCTCTCAGGATCTCAAACCTTTGTCTATATGCACAGATTTAATACTTTTTCCTGTTACCCTCTATTCATGAGATCTCTTTCATTCTTTATTTTATTTTAAAGATTTTATTGGGGAATTGGGGGAGGGGAACAGCGTTGGAATCGGGGAAGGGGAACAGAGAAGTTGCTGTCCTTTTGTTCTTCAGTTTAGTTGTGGAGGACGTTGCTTCACTGGCCCTTGTTGGTATTATCATTGAGCTCTTCCTAGGTGAGGCAGATCGGTCACCAGCCTCTGGACGGCCGTTCACGGTGGCTCTTGGCAGCTCACACCGGCTGCCAGCCGCTCATGATGGTTGCCAGCCACACACGGTAGCTTATGGCAGCCCACTGCAGCAGGGGCTGCAATGTACACCGTCGCCTGCAACTCACGGCAGCCTACCTCCAGGTTGAGCTGTTGTTCACCATCTTAGCTGTAGAGGGCAGTGTCACTGGCCCTCATATGTGGGATCCGAACCGCGGCCGTAGCTGCTCAGAGCTGGCGCTCCCAAGCCAGCTCTTAACCAACGCGGCACTCAGCCGGCCCTCTTTAATTCTTTAAAATTGACTTTTTGATATCTGTGTGTCACAGAACCAGATGATCCAATTTGCTTTTTTGGCAGGCACCATATAAAGCTCTGCTCACTGCAAAGTTCAATAAAAGATACCAGTACTCTCTAGACTACTCTGCTACAAACGCATGTAGAAAGACTTGAGTTTTATCTGGGCTTTTTTGTGAGACAACTTAGGCCAATCTCTGATCTCAACTTGATCATCTTATACTATAAATGAATAATAGGGACATATTTATAAGGAATATTAAATTAATGATTCCAAGGAACTTTTAAGGTATGGCTTGCTAGTAAAACATAAAACTGTTCTTTCATAAAATGAAAACTGAGAATATGAATAGTAGACCTGAGGATCTGTACTAGCACAAGCTTTGATTTCTCAATATTGTTTTCCAGTTTCATCTTTCACCATATATGCAATACTTCCTTTGAAATTATTAGCAGTTTTGAATGTAGAATAGAAATATCATGCTAAGTAACTAATCAAAAGTGACAACGTATAAAGAAAAATTAAAATAGAGCCCATATACTACTCTGGTATCAACTTGCCCTACAGGGCCAATTGTGGAAACTTTGTTTCCACTGGGTGGCTTAGCCTAGTCCCTGAACCTCCTTTCCTTATTTGTAATTTGAGACTAGTAATGGTCCTTACTTTACCTACAGGGTTGTTGTGAAGAAGCATTCAATATCAAAGTCACAAAAGCCATTTCATGAACTGCTAAAGGATTAATAATCTATGAACTCAGATGGTTCTTAGAGGTTAAAAAAAGAAAGGTCAAAGATTAAAAGTATATGCTTGTGAACCTAAAGAGATTGGAAAGATGGCAATTGTAAACAAAAAGGTAAAAAATATTAAAAATAGGAAACTAAAAGTTATCACAAAATAGTGAGATTATTGTTGGTAACAAAAAAGATACTAAGCTATTTACAAGAACAAAAGGAATTAAAAACAAAGTAATTTGTTGAAAGGTGCTAGGATATGACTAATATGAAACTGATTAATTACATCTGAATTTCTCTGTTTTTTGGGGGGAGGGGTCTTTTATAAATCTGAAGTTAAATACTGAAGTTACAGAACTATGACTATAAAATATACAAATAGGCACTCTCAAAATAATGTGATTTTGTCATACATGTTTATAGTACAAAGACTTGTACAAATTTAATGAAAAATATTCTTGAAAAAAATGAAATGGCTAATAATTTTGTACTTTATTTTTTTAGCATACGGCGGCATCAAGAAAGAAGAGCAATTTTGACTCCCATTTTAACAGATTTTTCTGTCCGAATAACTGGAGCACCTGCCATCATTTTCACCAAAATAATTTCTCCAGAAAACATGCATACTGAGGTTAGAACTTAATTTAAGTTCATTTTCTTCTAAATAATAGAGCAGCTCCTCTTTGTATGTTAGTATTTTCATAGTTCCAGTGCACAGAATATCAAATTAGCTTATTGTTAATAAGTTACTGTTGCAACTAATAATTATTGAACATTTTCTAGTACTGTTCAACTATTGTTTTTATTTTATAACTAATTTAATTCTCATAATAATCCTATTAGCTTCTCCTATTATCGTCATTATATAGATGAGGAAACTGAAGCATAGAAAGGCTAACCCTAATAACCTGTCCAAATTTTCACAATTGGTAAGTAGCCAAGCATGGTATGAACCCATCTGGTCTGGCTCCAGACCGTACAACCGTACAATCTCTTTCTAATGAAAGCAACCATAATACTGACAAATAACTTAGAGTTCTCACATGGACTACCTTACAGAAGAGTTCTGCGTGGAACAGCTTATTTAGTCTTCACTGCCTCCTTATGAGATAGATATTATTAGTCTCAATATTTTATAGATGAGGAAACAGATCAAAAGAAATTAAGTAAGTTGATCCATGTTATTAGCCAATTAGCGGTGGATCCAGGTTTCAAGTCTGATCACTGCGGTATCAGTGCCTCCCTGCCTAGAATAGAAATGTAATAATAATGTGATTCATCATAACTTAAAAAATTCTTCATAGAAATTTGTTATACTAAAATCTTTGTAAACTTTTTGATCACTCAAAGTTACAGACATTTGTTATGAAAAGTTAAAAAAATTAGGTACAAATTAAATATAATAATCCAAACTGATAAAACTTTACATTCCTTGTTTAAATTAAAGATGCAACATTTTTGTGTATGTTCTTATTTGATGTTTATAATAGCCCTACAGGGAAAGTTAGGTTAGGCATGGTATCCTATATATCCACAAAAGGTATTTAACAATTAAGTCTACTAATATCTTACAGTTACTTAGTAACACAGTTGGTTTAAAATACATGACTATATTTCTTTTCATCATTTACTTGAGGAATAAAATGATAATTCTAATTATAATGCGTAAACACAGGGAATTTATGGGGGAAATGGTTAAAATTTAACCAAAAAATAAAAGTGGGGTGGGATAATCATTTCCGACTTGCTGTTCTTTATGGCTTTATTAAAACCTTCTCTAAGCTATAAGCTGTGTAGTTTATATTTGGACCAGTCATCAGTGTCTAATCCATTCTCTTGGATGACACTAATAAGGAGAAGGTTTTTTGGACGTTTCCATTTGAACATTGTCCACATGCACTTCATGACAAGAGGCAGGACTTCTGCTTATTAAGTGAGGCTTCTGGATTGTTTTTCATTTCTGTTTTCCTTCTCTGAATGGTTTTCCAGTGATGAATGTTCAAGTGACTCAGTTATGCAGAACAGCACCAGTTAAGTAGTGGACATCTACCTAATGCTGCCAAGATTTTAGCAGTTTTAAGAAGTGAAATTAATTAGTCTAGCTATTTTTGGCTTCAGTACTCTGTTTTGTTATAAATCATTCGGAGTGTATCCTTTGGAGAATACTCAGGCCATACCACTTGTGATTGTAATTGCCAGCCTACAATCGCCTGTTTACATCTGTCGGCCCAAGCAGATTGTAACCTTCTCAAGAGCAGGTTGCCCTTCAAGGCCAAGCTCCTTCTTTGTGCTATTCCTCACACTCTAGGATGGTGATTGGTAATTAGGAGATGCTCAGTAAATATTTCTAGGTTTGAATGAATGAACAAGACTGGGCTAAAGAATTACATCATCGATTATATATTAAAACATTGAAAATAGTTTGAGGTATGATAAAGCCAGATGTGTATGAAATGGTGAAAAATTCTTATTGTTAGTTCGTTGGCCCTATAACTAGCACACAGCCTGGCTCACAGCAGGCCCTCGTAAATATTTATTCAATTAATCCATTATACTGTGTTGAGTGGCTGTGCTTCCCATTTCTGCTATTCTCATTAACAAATGACCTTGAGTCCCAGGAAAATTCATCAACATAGTAAGGGTCAAATAAGTAAGAATGATAAATTATCATCTAATGGCTATCATGTTTCATTATCTATATTCAACCTTTTTTTTTCTTTCAGGAGATTTTAGTGTGTGGCCATTCCTTGGAAGTGAATATAACCACAAACCTGGACTTCTTCCTAAGTGTGGCTCAAGTTCAACTCTTACATCAGTTAATAGTAGCAAATATGACTGGACTGGAACCATCAAGCAAGGCCACCGAGGTAACCATTACCTGATTCTGATTAGGCTTGCTGCATTTATGCCAACTTTACATTTATAATAGGAAAACTAAATGAAATTAAATGCTTTCTGCTAATTATTCTATATTTAATTTTATTGAAAATGTAGTCATAAATCATTTTGGATTGGTATTCTTTATTTTTGAAATTTGTTTGGTCTTTTTTCCTATAATTCATCATGTACCTTTGCAAAACTGCTGTGGCCTAGCCTTGGAAAAGCCTCTGTAAAAAACATGATTTTATTACCCTGCTGCAATTTTTAAAGTACAATGAAAGAAACCTGGGATAGCTTTTACTTACTCAGATATATTAAAGGGATAGGGCCTCTTTTGGAAATGAATTTTGTAAGAGTACTATGGGAATATCTTCAGTAAATAACTTCTAAAACGTGCGTTTGCCATGCTCAGTGAAGAATGGACACAATCATAAAAGTTGAAAGCCTGCCTAGAATTTTAATTCTGATCTGGTGTTCATTGGAAGCCTGCATTGTAACCACAAAACATGTCAGCATGAAACAAAGAAAGCTGCTTGTTAGATGCTTCTCAAGATATGTTTTCTTTGCCTTTTTTCCATACTTCTTTGATCATATCTGTACTTATAGTAAATCTTCTATAAAAATTCAAGTGAAGAAGCCATTTATCTATGAAAAAGACATTGCTTTATTTTTGTCATGAGTTATGTAAAATGCTGTAAGTTCTGTTTATTGGAAAGGAAGGGGAGGAAGAGATATTCACTGAGAGCCACTTGATCCTGGGCAATGTGCCAGGTATTTTCATGTAAGTTAAGTCATATCTTCAAGTATGTTATAACAACTGCCATGTGAGGTAGAGATGGGCGTTATCAGCATTTTACAGATTGGGATCTTGGAGCTCAGAGACAGTGAGTGACCTGCCTGAAATCACACACATGGCTGAAAATTTGTGAATGTGAGATTAGAATTTAGGTCTTTGAAGTCTGTGTTCTTTCCATTCTGACATAGTTCATATACTATAACCGTGCTTGACCTGGAGCGTTACATTAGTCTCTCAGTCTTATTTTTTTTTAAATGTTTAAAAATTATAAAGCCTTTAACATCTGTAAATGAAGCTTCTCTAACTATATCATCTTTTACCACCCATTTCTGTTTGCTCAGTATCTTTTTTAAAAGGACTATGGATATATATATATATATATATATATATATATATATATATATATATATTCTTCAAAATATTGACTTTTTTCCAATACAGATTAGACACTACATAAGAATATAATTATATGACATGAATATAAGCAGAGCAAAAATATCTCCCCATGGGATTTTCAATGAAATCCTTGAAGCAAGTTAGGTTGGAAACAGTATTTTACATTCCTATATTATTTGTGCCAATTTTGTGAATCTGACATCAGTGAAATCTCAGATTTCTGGTGTGTTCTAGGAATTTATACAACTTGGCAAATCGATTCTTAACTGTTTACCTATCTACTTCCAATGCCAATTAGTAGGATCTGATTTCAGTAAATGAAAGGACACTCAGAGTTAGATTACTAACAATCCTTACCTGAATGTTGACTTATCCCTCATAGTTATATAAATGAGCTAGGCATTGTTTTTGCTTTTTAAAAAATGTGCCTGTGGCCCTTTGTTCCTTCTTGAAGACATTAAAATACAATACACTGAAAAGTGATTAAGACTGTACTTTTTATTTTACACGTATTTTACCACAATTTAAAAGAATTGCATAGACTAATAAAGAAGGACAATTTGGCTCTGTCCCCCCCAGCCTCAGTGCGGTATGTCTGTGAAAATGTCAATAATAAAAAAAGACTTTCACAGTTTCCACTCAGGATGATGGAGTAGAGAAATGCTGTGCATACCTCCTCCCATGACCATATTAAAGTTACAACCAAATTATAGATCAACCTGGAGAACTACCTGAAGACTAGCTGAACAGAAGTCCTTTAAGGATTTAAAAAAAGAAACCACTTCGAGATAGGTAGGAGGGGCAGAGATGCAAACAAGGCTGTCCTGCACCCATGTGGGATGGTTGAGAATCAGGAGGGATAATTCAGCTGTAGAGATCTCACCTGAAGAGTGAGGAGTTCCAGTCCCAAAGTCGGCTCCAGTGCTAAGAAGAGGAACTCCCACAACATCTGGCTGTGAAAATCATCAGGGATTCTGTTCATCATAATGAGACAGAAAGCTGCTGGAAACCCAGACTTCCTCTTAAAGGACCTGCACACACACTCTCTCCAAGATGGGCTCTGTTGAAGGGACAGTGGCTTGGGAGGTGCCAGAGATATACAGGGAGAGACTCGAGTTGTGTGGCTTAAGGATGAGGACTGGAGGGACAACTGTCATTGACCCTGTGTTGAGCTGTACCCCCACAAGGCCAAATCTGAAACTACATTAACCTGGTGAACTCCGCTAGCTCCAGCCTCCTGGCTCCCTGAGACCCCACCCCACCCACCTCGCATACCTCTGGAGGCTCTTATGATGGCCGAGCCTTATGGGCACCCAGCAGGTGGGGAGTAGGCCTTGGGGTGCCCTGTCCCTTTTGCTGAGCTGCCCCAGGCTCCATAATAATGATAGCTGACCTGGATTCCCAATGTAGGCCTCTCCCATGCACTTACAGGTCCAACACAGGCAGCTGTCAACCAAGAATCACTTTGTAGCTCTTACCAGGTAACGCCAGGCAGTTCACAGGCAGCTGCTGACCTTGGCCTACACAGGAGCTGCTCCTGAGAGGCCACAGAATAAATATACCCACTGGTCAGCTTCAGACCACAATACAGCACCATTCGATTACCTGACAAGCGGCATACCCAAAGGGTTGTCTCCACGGGCACCAGAGCCCACTGGGGCAAATTCCAGTCTATGAGGGCAGCCCCCACACAGTGGTTCTTACGCTGTAGTCATGGCCAGTCCCTACAGCTAGTCAGCGTGAGGGTCAGCCCCACCCACTAACATGTCAAAGGCAGTCAATGGTCAGCTATAAGAGAAGGGCACACACAACCCACAAAAGGGACACTCTCGGAGCACCCAGCTCAGATGGTCAGAGAGACTACACTACTGGGCCCCACAGGACACCTACTACATAAGGTACTACCACTCTGCCAACACTGGGAGACATAGTCAATCTACCTGATTCATAGAAACAAACACAGGGAGGCAGCCAAAATGAGGAGACAAACATATTCCAAATGAAAGAACAGGAGAAAACTCCAGAAAAAGAACTAAACAAAATGGAGGCAAGCAATCTACCATGTACAGAGTCCAAAACACTGGTTATAAAAATGATCCAGGAACTTAGCAAGAACTTCAACAATAAGTAAGTATAAAAAAGGAAATAGAACCATAAAAAAGAACTTTTCAGAAATAAGGAATACAAGAATACACTAGAAAGACTCTACAGCAGATTAGATATAGCATAAGATCAAATTAGTGATTTAGAAAACAAGGTAGCAGAAAACATCCAATTGGAACAGCAGAAAGAAAAAATAATTTTGAAAAATAGGATAATTTAAGGGACCTCTGGGACAACATGAAGCAGAAAAACATTTGCATTATACATGTACCAAAAGAAGAAGAGAGAGAACAAAGGATTGAGAACTTATTTGAAGAAATAATGACTGAAAACTTCTCTAACCTGTCAAAGGAAATAGACATACAAGTACAGGAAGCCCAGTGAGTTGTAATCAAGATAAACCCAAAAAGACCCACACCAAGACACATCATAATTAAAATGGCAAAGGTTAAAGACAAAGAGAGAATCTTAAAGGAGAAAGAGCAAGGCAGTTAGTTACCTACAAGGGAGCTCCCATGAGATTGTCAGCTGATTTCTCAACAAAAACGTCACAGGCCAGAAGGGATTGTCACAGAATATTCAAAGTGATGAAAAGCAAGGACCTACAACCAAGATTACTCTACCCAGCAAAGCTATCATTCAGAATTGAAGGACAGAAAAAGAGCTTCCCGGACAAGTAAAAGCTAAAGGAGTTCATCACCACCAAACCAGTATTACAAGAAATGTTAAAAAGGATTTCGTTAAGAAGAGGAAAGTGGGCGAAAAAGAACGTAAATATGAATAATAAAATGGCAATAACTCTGTATCAGTAATCACTTTAAATGTAAATGGATTAAATGTTACAATCAAAAGACATGCGTACCTAAATGGATAAGAAAACAAAGCCCATACATATTCCGTCTACAAATGACTCACTTCAGATTGAAAGACAAACATATACTGAAAGTAAGGGGATTGAAATAGATATTATATGCAAATGAAAATGCAAACAAAAGCTGGGGTAGCAATACTTATATTAGGCAAAATAGACTTTAAAACAAAGGCTATAATAAAAAACAAAGACGGACATTTCATAATGTTAAAGGAATCAATCCAATAAGATATAACCCTTGTAAATATTTATTCACCCATGTAGAAGCACCGAAATATATAAAGCAAATATTGATGGACATAAAGGGAGAGATTCACAGTACCACAACAATAATAGGGGACTTTAACATCAATGAATAGATCTTTCAGACAGAAAATCAACAAGGTAACAACAGCCTTAAATGACACATTAGACTAGATGGATTTAATTGATATTTTTAGAGCATTTCACCCCACAGCAGCAGAATATATATTCTTTTTAAGTGTACAGTGAACATTTCCAGAACAAACCACATGTTAGGCCACAGAACAAGTCTTAATAAATTTAAGAAGATTGAAATCATATCAAGCATCTTCTTTGACCACAATAGTATGAAAGTAGAAATCAATTTAAAGGAAAACACTGAAAATCACACAAACACACGGAGAGTAAATAACATGCTACTAAACAATGAATGGGTTGCCAGTGATATCAAAGAAGAAATCAAAAGATGCCTTGAGACAAATGAGAATGAAACACCACAACCCAAAATCTGTGGGATACAATGAAAGCAGTCCTAACAGGGAATTTCATAGCAATACAGGCCTACCTCAAGAAATAAG